TCCGACAATTTCCGGCATGTTCTAGTGTTGGATTTGGTAGGTTTCGTCAGGATCGTGACGTCGGAATCAACGACTTGGGTATTCGGCTGTGCCATTGCACTGGCTTAAAAACTATTCGACGTTACTCTAGCAACACACAGGTATGTTGTGCATATTCCAATTGGAATGTAGTGTTGTATATAGGGGAGGTAGCGGTTTCCGTAACTGCCAACGGTATTTCATCAATTGAAATCCACTGATCTAAGATTCTTAAATAAGTGAAACCTTCATTTTTTTCCGGTAAAGCTTTGATGTGGGTGAAGATCAACATGTTTTGAGAAACTTGTGTGTTTTCTACGCTATTCTACTTGGCTTTTGCATCTAGTTTCCAATCTACTTTCTCCTGACTTTTCTCTTTGCTTTTCGGTCTACCAGCCACTCTACTTATACTGAACTATACTTTAACGGCATCTATCGGCATAATATTTTGCGTAAACAGATTCACATGCCTGTTATGAAGATGCGATGAAAAAACTGCTAACATTATGTTTAGACCAAAATATCGAATGAATCCGTGGAGTATCAGGTCATAAATAGATAAAGTAGATGAATTATTGGCAAATTTGTGTACGCCATCCACAACAAGTCGATGACCCCGAAAAATATCTTTACATTGGAAATTCAAAGCTAGTGCATTTAAAGCAACCGTTCATTTCGGTTATACTGCATTTAGTGGCATACTAAAAAAGGTTTACCACAATAATTTTTTGAAATTCGTGTGTGCAATGAATATTAGTAACGAAAGTGCGGGTGCAGTCAATATGCTTTGATGTGCAATTATTAATAAATAATTTTCTTGAAGACTATGAGAAGGATTAGACATTTGCAATTCAAACATTCAAGTGAGTAGCTAGTAGTCATACTTTTTTTGTTAGTGAATCATTATCATTTATGAATATTCAAGAGTATGCAGCATTTATATCTATCATTATCATTTTTTGGGTCAGATTATTTATATAGTACATTTTTCTTTGAGAATATTAGTCGTATATTAAAGTCATTAGCCCATGGAACAATTGCGCATAATAAAAGACTAATATCTAATATGGAATTGTTTCGTTGCACTGTTCATTGCCAAATTCATTACATTGTGATAATATGTTAAATAATCATCATCAAATAACAACAAATAGCAAAATATCAAAATCATTCACAAATAATTATTTTGGAAGCATCATTTTTATTTATCGCTAATACCTTATTTAAAAGTTTCATGATTCATTTGTATTCGATGTCTCTTCTTTTTATTTCTGTTGCTTTTATGAATAGCTTCTTATTGCTTCGAAACACAAATAATGGCTGTGATGCAGTACTTATTCACATTGCCACGAAGCACATGCGGATAGAGGCTGACAGAACCGGATTTGCGATACTTTACTTTTCAAATTAATGGTCAGCGTCAAAAGTCCAAAATTCGAAAAAGTCTGAGCCAGACCAACTTGGTTCATCAGATGTTTTCTAATCGCCAATCTAGACTAAATACCAAAAAACAGGCTCTCTCAGCCTCTAGCCACATGTGTCAGCTTCGATTTAAGACCTTCCCGAGCTCTCTATGATATTTCTTTACCGAGAACTACGAAATGGTGTTAAGATGAAAGTCGCTTTCGAGATATGGTGGCGCCAGTATGTGATCCATGTTTTGGGGCTTTCAGCAAACCCCTTGTAACTCTTGATCGGAACATCATCCAGAGCTGAGGAATATCTCATTCTGATCAGAAATGTTTGTTCTATTTTCGTATATACTGAAAGTAACTTATACTTTGGTTTTTTAAAAGGAAAGTAATACCTTTTCGAAAAGCCAGCTTTTTAATGTTTTCGAAAAACTTTTGTAAAAACCTCCATACTCCTTCGATGAGGGCCTTAAAGGCGAAATGTAGTTGAAGTTTACTGCAAGCTTAGAGTTATACATTATTAGACAAAAACGTCTCAAAAACTTTTAATCAAATCTTTTGTAGCATAGTCGTCTGTTTCTTCGCCTGACGACACAATCTGATACGTACGACTTATCTTTGTCATCGTATATTACTACACCTTCTTTGATGTAGAAATATCTATTATTTACTTAATGGTTGTATTCAGTTTTTCGTATTTCAGAGGTACAATTTTACATGAAGTGGACCAATCACGTCTTCGCGATGAACATCAACCAAACTATTCTCAAGGTCCTTCGAGATCATCAATTATTTGAAACGGATACAAAGTATTCAACAACATAGAGAAGTATTTCAGCTAAAACTAGCAATTCTACATCAGTTAAGCTAGATTAAACGTTGCACGATATGAGCAGAATTGAAGTGTCAGTAATATTGATTTAGTATATGTACCACCCGAAGTAAGCTACGGACTTTTATTGATATTTGTTAATTAGCTTACTGGATCGGCTGACGGTCCGGTTAACCTAATAGACAATCTCTAACATATTTCTTCTTTTACATAGCTTGACTGCTAGGTTAATCGAACGGTTGAAGCTAGCTCCACTAACAGCTAGTTGGATCGATCGGTTGACTGATTAACCTGGTGGATCACCTCGCATTCGACCACGATCATGTTAGCCTGATGATTGATTCCACCAGTAGGTTAAGCCATATAAGTCGGTAAACAGGTAGATTTACCTAGCTCCGCGTTGTAGATAACCGCCTAGTACGTCTAGGGATGCAGCCGTAGTGGTTTCCGTTTTAAACTCTCAACAGCTGACGTTCTGAACTGCCAACGGTATTTTTATCAGTCAGAATCCACTAAACTAAGATCCTTAAATTAGTGAAATCTTCATTTTCTCAGCGAAAGAGTGATTTGGGTGAAAATCTCTTGTCTACCAAAAATTTTTAAGAAATTCGCTTCTTTTTCCGTTCTTTGTCTCTTTTCTTTAGTTATGTTTCCTCTTAGAAGCTAATTCAGATGATTAGTGGTGCGTCTCTCTACTGATACTAAGTCCAATATAACGACATCTAACGGGATAATATTTTATGTTGGCAGTTCCGAACGTCAATTGATGAGATGTAGTTGGCAGTTCAGAACGGCAAAACCGTCGCCGTTACCGACCGGAAAACTAAGCATTAGGTTATTTATATGTTTACGTTTCAATCTAAAGCAAACATTTCATACACTTTTAGCCGGTATATCTACAATTTATTCACCTCATATACGATTTTTTAAAAAGAAAAACTCTCAATGGAAGCTACAAACAATCTGACATGGTTGACTTGTTTGATATAAAAAATTGCTTTCTGAGTGTGGATGGGATTAGACGTGAAAATGAAATGCAATTTCCGCTTAAAAGGAAGACGATTGATGACAAGAATAATCGCGATCAACTTGCTTTTGAATATTTATTAAACGTGAGATTTTTAACTGATTGTAATAAAAAAGAAATGCGTTGAAGGTAAATGTTCATCCTGCTCGAATAGACTTCTGTCCTTCGTGGACTGCAGAATTGGCTGATAGAGAATATACAAAACCTTATGGAAAGACAAATGCCAATCTACACTGTGCGTAAAAATGGAACGAGTGTATTGAAATCAAAGAAGCAAAAACTGACAAACAACCATATTTTCTGTTTCTGTTTTTGTAACTTTATGTTCGTTTGATTGTATAGATGCGTTTGAGTCAAACAAAACGCGTTTTTGAAGTGCAGTTGATCTTTAATTGATGACTTTTAAAGTCTTTTTCATCTGAAATAAAAAACAGTATAAAAGACGGTAAAGTTAAATTAAAACCAAATTGTAAGACTAAGTGCAAGACTGAGTGCTAAAACCTGATGAAGATTCAGAACGGCTGCAACTGCCAAGAATGTAATGGGCTATAAACATACGGTATTGATTTTCAAGAAAACTCGAAAATCGATCTTCGAATTTCAAGAATCTTGGGAATTATTTATAGAAAATCGATCGATTTTCTAGAATATTGGAAAATCAAACTCGAATTTTCAGTATGTAGAAATCGACGCCGAATTTTCATACTTTTGGAAATTCTATGCCGATTTTCTAAATAAAATGAAAAGTCAATTTATAGAAAATAGAAAATCACGAATTTCTAAAAAGTCAAAAAATCTACGAGCGTCTTATAAATATCCGAAAAAGCTGCACGATTTTCCAGATCCATTTTCTATAAAGTGGAAATGAATTCGAAATTACAGTGCATGCACTTGGTCCAATGATAATTTCGGTTATTAGCAGGAGGTGGACCGTTACCCCAGTTACTTTGGTAACTCTAACGGTTTTGCGTTGCCGTTAATAGTAAAGGGTAACGGCGAGCATTATTCTTATATATACTTCATTTAATACTCTCAAGACAAACAAATCTCATTTTTATTCAACAAAAGCATATTGTTCAAAGTCGAGTTATACGGTGATAGAAAAGTACCACGAAAGCCTCCAAACACATTTTTATAGATTTTCGTGCGTAATCTTTCATTGACACAGTTTTCAAACTTTGAAAGTGTCTTTGTACAGGTTTTCCAGAAATCCGATCTGTAGAAAACTAGTACAAACATAATTTTGAAAGTTTGAAAATCACGCCATTGAAAAGAACACATACGAAAACCTATAAAAAGAGCGTTTAGTGGCCTTCGTGCCACTTTTCTAGCAAATGTCCATGTGCCAAGTCAATATTATCTGCTGTGTTTGATAGTCAAATACAGTCATAGCGTTACCCGGTATAGTAACGGTAACGCTTGAATCGTTTTCGGTTACTAGTAACGGTAATGCAAATATGTTACCGTTACAGTAACCCCTAGTTATCAGACAGTGGCTAATCAAGCGAGATTTGAAGATCTGGATAAACGGCGACGATGAGGACGACCAAAACAAATTCACAGAGTTAAAAACCCTTATTTTTTTTAACAGTAAGAAAACAGAACCCAAATGAGCTTATATAAATGTAAAAAGCGCACACACGAATACACGAAAAAATGGGTAAACGTAATTTAAAGTCGTCGAATATGCATGAAAACTCATAACACTCTTTTATGTATCTACTGCTTCTGCCACTATTGCTGCGGGACTATATTTTGCTCCACGTCGTTTACGCAAAATTAAAAAACCTAATACAGCAGCTATGAGAATAAAAACCGCAACTACAATAATCACTATTGGTATCCAATTCATTCTTCGGCCTCGTCCACCTGAGTAATTGTCTCTATAAACATCCCCTCGCCCTCCTGTGTAGTGACCTTGTTCATCACAATCATTTAAGTCAGTTAACAGACGTTCAATTTCTTTTAATTTATTCGTACGACGAAAAGATGATCGAATTTCTTCATCTTCTTTTAGGAGGACAGACATAAAGAACGTGTGATGAAGTGGTGGGATAAGTGGCAAAAATTTCAGTGTGGATGTAATTTATGAGCGGTCTTTAATTCATTTAATGTTTGTTGAATATTTCGAATTATTTTCTGGTTTGATGCTGCTTCAATATGAACAATTACGAATAATATGAAAACGGTGACTACGAAGAACACTTTCATGATGTATGTGCGCTCGAATAATAATACAACTACCTTCGTTATGCTGTATGTGAGGTAAATAGATCACATTTACTTTTTTACGTTCTTTCTTGTTGTGTGACAAAAAAAAAAGTAAAGCTTGTGAAAGAATGCAACAGAAGAAATACGAAAAAATTTAACATGTCGATGTGTCATCTATAGTAAAGAGAAAAAGAAAGAAGTGAATAGTCATCGATGATTATTGTGTATTCGAAGAGCAGGGAGAGATAGAATAATTGTCGCCCACTCCGCATATACAGTGGGTGGAAAAATTATTCATGTAGCTCCAAAAGTTTTTGCGTCTATCGATTCTTTTTGTCAAAAAACTTAAGAATCTGCGTTTAAACGTGAATTTTTCATTTTTCTGGTAAAAACAATCATATCCTTACACTTAAACGCGAAAAGTTCCGCAAAGAGTACTACTTACCAACAAGTCTACAACGATGTTGTTTTTTTATCTAAAATGTCGTTTGTTTTGTAATATTATACTATCGAACTGGCTGATGGCAGTTGCTACTTTTCTTCATCTAACGTCAGGTTCTTTTTTTCGGTTCCTTCAGAGCTTACAATGACTCCGTTTACAAACAAACTTATCCGTCTAAACCGTCTGACATCGAATCATTCTGTGACAGATTCATACTGGATCATTAGCGTTGATATGTCCTCACTTCTGCATGGTCACTCTCTTCAGATCTCGAATTTGTACAATTCCGGTAGCTACAGAAAAGAGACGGGAGTTTTGCATTAGTCTTCATAAAACATCATGGTTTATATCTCTATCTCTGAAATTTCGAAAAATGAACTTTCATTTTTTTTAATCATTAATGATACAGTCCAATCTTTCATATCATTTGTTCCCCCTCAAACGCAAAATTAATAAAGTTGAAATTAAAATATATCATTTGGGAAAACGTTGCTCTTTCCAGTGCTCACTAGGTCAGTCTCCGAAAATGTACAGATGTTGAGAAATTTCAAAAATAAAACATCTACATTCTTCGGAAAATTCCGTCACGAGATTTCGCATTTTGTTCTTTTCATTCCAATAAAGAGCTAATATGGTAAATAAGTCACATGGACGGATAGATCTCATTGAGATCTATCGAATGGAGTATAATATATTGGATTTCGATCAACTTATGAGAGAAAACAATGCGAAATACAGCGTGACACGTGACAGCACTTCAGTTTTTGAGTACAACATACATAAGAAATGCATTTTTGACCAGAAATCGAAAATTTTTTTCTTGCAAATTAGGATGATACCAACATCATTCAACGCAGTTTTTTAAGCTGATTCCAATCATAACACTGAAAAAATTTGAAAAACATTTCAATTTTTCAGTTTCTCAGTTTAAACTAAATTTAGAATTAAAACGTTTCCATTGGAAATTATCTGAGAGTGATTTTACACATTTTTGAGCTTATACCCGATGATTTTCTTGTCTAAAAATGCTCAAATTTCAATTTTAATGCTATTTACAATAGCAACGTCGTAAATTCATCGAAATTTTAAATTTATTATTAGCTGTCAGGTACTATATTTTCTTAACAAAAACTGCTTAGAATGATGAAAGAGAGGCACGCAGCGGCGTGCCATCATCCGCGCGCGGATGGTAGAGAAACAAAGAAGTTTGACTGAGTTCGCTTAAATCTCGAATTTATGGCAGGCATAACCTTCTGCATTGGAAGCATGAAATTCCGCCTTGGTCGATATTCTGCTCGTTTTATTTGATCTTAGCGTTTGAAACCAAAACTAAAAACATATTCTGAAAGCCCAAACATTGGCGAACATTTTTCTGTAAAGTAAGTCAAATGATAGTACCGTATTTCAGAGACGAGTTCGAAGTTCAGAGAGTACCCAAAAAGCTTTCCATTTCTTGAAATTCTGTTACGATCTCTATTTTTGCTATAACTGCTGATCTAATGTACTGTTCAAACTCACACCTTCAGAATTTGAAGAACCTGTTCTTATAAGATAGGATGAAGTAAAGAACTGCTGTAATTTTTATTCCACCTTATTTTATAAATTCTAACAGAATCAATATAAAACAAATCAGATGCAAGACTTTTTTCTTAGGTCATTATTAGGCAACAGTAAGAAAATTGTCAACACTTTGATAACTTCGTTCGCTTTTCTTTGTCTTTTTCTTTTGATATAATTATCTATACACATACTGAAGCGCTTTAATATGTGTGTTCTAAAAGAACATAGGTAACTGTCACAAAAACTGATCACTTATTTTTATGTCACTTTACCATTTCGTACGTCTCGTGCATGTTCATCCATTTTTGTCTTTCGTTCTCTCGCTGTTTCTCCAACGTAAACACGATCACAGTTTTTACAACCTACTTTATAAACTAGTTTTTTCAATTTTTTCGATGCGTCATTTCCTTTTAGTAGGGGAAGATATGCACTTTTTATAGTTAGTGTTTTTCGAAAAGCGAAATTCACTTTTACAAGTGGCATGAGTCGTTTGCATGCTTTCTTGACATGTGCTGTGAATATTATCGATTCACGACCATAGTAAGGCATTGTGAAATAGATTGTTCGAACAGGTGTCATTTTTTGTTTTGATTGTGATAATCGTTTTGTTATTAATTCTCCTTCACGTACTCCTTTGCGCATGATGTATGGTGGATATCCATTGTCAGCTAACACCTCTTTTAATCAATCGATTTCTTTTTTTCTGATGTTCGTCCGTAGAACATATTCTCGAGATTCGAGAATATTGAATATTCGAGTCGAGTTGAATATGTACAGTATGTGTGCATGATCAATTTCAAATATGCAGAAAATATCATCTACGTATCTAACCTAGACTTTAGATTTGTTAGCAGTGAATCGATTTAATTTTGATTCAATTTTTGTCATAAATACATCAGCAAGCACGGATGCCAGAGGGCTACCCATTGCGACTCTATCTTGTTGGATATAAAATTCATTTTGAAATCGAAAAGGAATATTACATACAGCTAACTTTAACAAATTTTTCATCTGATCACGATTAAGTGATTTTTGTGACAGTTACCTATGTTCTTTTAGAACACACATATTAAAGCGCTTCAGTATGTGTATAGATAATTATATCAAAAGAAAAAGACAAAGAAAAGCGAACGAAGTTATCAAAGTGTTGACAATTTTCTTACTGTTGCCTGATAATGACATAAGAAAAAAGTTTTGCGTCTGATTTACTTTATATTGATTCTGTTAGAATTTATAAAATAAAGTGAAATAAAAATGTTTACAGCAGTTCTTTACTTCATCCTATCTTATCTTCTTCCTACTGCTTTACCTTCGGGTTTTATTAAACCTGTTCTTATATTCATTTGGTAAAAATTTCATCGTAATCTCTTACATGGTTTCGGAGATACAAAATAAAGAAATTGAAAAAGTGAAATTCTGTCACGCTCGGCGAAGCCGTATATGAAAAGTAAACTAAATGTCATATGTAACATTTACATTAGAAAAATTGATGTAGTTAGTCACTTTGAGAATATTAGAGTTTTTGTTTAAAAGAACGATCGATGGTAATCTCTAACAACATTTCATCGATCTGAATCATTGCTATTTCGGATTCTATATCGTTTTTAATAGTTCGAGAAATTCTTTTCCTCTCATATGTTCACTTCAAAATGTTATTTTTTCTTTTAATTCTAGAAATATGTCGGCATAAGTAACAAACATGTTTTTGACGCTCAATGTTGGGTGATACTGGAGGGGATTGTTTCACAAATAATCGTGATGAGTATGATATGAAGTCGAATGTAAAATTATCCGATGTACAATTTTTAAATCCTCCTTCAAAAAATTGTCAATATCTTCCAATATATCTCGCACAATCCTGGTCATTTTAGGCTCCCCCGCCTCAGAAATTATCTCCGACATCGTACATCCGATCTTACGAAACTTTCCAAAAATATTAGGCAGAATGAGTTACGGGAATGACAAAACTTTTTGGTCTCTAAGTCTTACGGTTTAGCAGTTTTCAGAGATCAGGGTCCAAAAAGGACCCTGACGTGTGTCCCAAGATTTTTTAATATATTTCAAGCTGGAGAGTTCGGGTTTGTTGTACTTAAACTAGACACCTAACTATATGGACTAACCGGCGCCGATTTTTTAATTAAGTCTGCCTTGGGTTTCGAGGCAACTAACAACCTCCAAAATCCGAAAAATTCTTCCGAGTTTTCTAAAAATGCTCATTTGACAAAAAACTAAGACTTAGTTTGAAGACTTCTAGAAAAATGCCTGTAACGCAATGGATCAGAATAAGACCTCGTACAGCTCTGTATGACCTAGCATCACGTTTGATGTTTCAAAGGACTTCTAGAAAAATGTCTGTAACCTTTTGATGCTAGGTCATACAGAGTTGTACGAGGTCTTATTTTGATCATGCTCTAAAAGTCTGTGTGTTCAGAAAGATTTTAATTGTATAAGTATCCAGGAAAAGCTATTATTTGAAGGCCCGATTTTCGGAGACTACTGGAAAACTTCCTCAAAACCCCCGAAAACTCAGTTTTGTAACCAAAACCGATGCAGATTCTGAAAATAGATACCTCAGGCTACTTTTCGATGTGCTTGTCTTAAAACCGATTTTTTGGCAGAAAATTGCAATTCCTGTGGGAACCCTTAACAGATAGCAATTCGTTAGTTAATAATAGTAAAATAAATCTTTCTAATTATGGCGGTATACTTTGGAATCTGAATTATACTAAGGGCGTTCCAAAAGTAATGGCAACATTAAATAAAAAACTAAAGAAGCAATTATATTTTTAAATTTTATTTAATAAATGTTCAAAGTAGTCTCCATTAT